CAAAAAAATTTAAATATAAAAATATAAATACGGCAAGTAACATGATAAAAAAAGAAAAAGAGACATATGAAAAAATAGAATAAAAAAAATAGATATATATATATATCATAAAATCAAATAAACAAACATACCGAACAATTAGATTACATGCCTTACTGAAGCCTTAGCTGAAGACTTAACATTCAAGAAGTGCACCTAGTTTTCAATTAGCATCTCAAATGGAACCTCCAGAAAAATTGGCATAATATTTGTATATTAAATCAAGGACAACTACATGATATCTCTTGACAATGATGGAACCCTAGAAGTGTATGGCTTTTGCATAATCATATTAGTGCTTTTTATTTTCTTAAAGTGATTCATTTTTTATGTTAAGGAATGCTTCTTTTTTTCCTGTCTAGCTGTTACTTGCTACCGGGAAAAAAAGATAATCGCAAATCAAGAAGCGTTGTGTTTTATGTTTATTAATTTGATATGGAGTTAACATAAGACTAAAATTAAGAATGATTATAATTATAATAATCCTACTAATTTTTTCTTCATATATGTTAATGAATTTATTCAAAGTCAAACTAAGCTGATTTATAATACAAGAGTGTATTTTTTTGTTCCCTTAACAAGATGGAAATTATTTAACAGGTAGGCTTTTTTTTTTGTTTAAGAAATAACACGATCTTTTATGCGGAGTACGTTTCCTTTTTAGCATGGAATATCTTTGCATATAAGCTTTTTTTCTCAATAAAAGGAATTCAATTAAGACAAAGGAGAAATCGCGATAAGGAAGCTACCTCAAAGCGAGCAACAATACAAAACAAAGAAGAAGAAAAAAGTGTATCACACAACTATCCAATTCCTTAACATAACTGTTGTAAATTTTATTTATTTTTTGTTGCTGAAAAGGAAATGTTTAATATCAAATAAAAGCAAACTACCGGCAATAGCACCAAATCCAACACAAAACACATTTACTATTGTATCTCCTACTACTCGTGTTTCAAGATCATCCCTGGGAGGTTATTTGATTTGACCCTATTAAAGTTTTTCCTCCTAAACCACCTCAAGGAAAATGAGAAAACTTTCATCTGGCTTTCTATGTTGTGCTTATTCGCATCCAAAGCAAGTTAGTGAGAGCACATACTTAAAACCAAGTACATTATGATGCTCATAGAAGTGCAACTATTTATATGAATGTTTGAAATTGAATCACTATTACAACTACACATATCTGCTTGGACCTACCTTGAAGCTTGGAACACCTTCTACATCACTGCATCATTCAGTGTTTTGAAGCAAGACAAATATTTACACAATGAACCACAAATATTTGCTGCTTCCTATTTCTCTTGACCATTTAGCCATGAAAGAATAACTTTCGCACCTTTCTCCCACGAAACGTCCAACATCATGTCATGGGCAATTGCTTCAACACATACTGGTGACACACCATAAAACTTTGCTGTTTCTTTGAGACCCTCTTCATCCTATAACCAACAATGGGGAAAACCACGCAATGAAAAAAGTGAACACTACCAAAATTCAAATCAATGTTGAAGAAATATTGGTAGAGGGCTATAATGATTCAATGAACTAGACAACATCGTTGGGGGAGAAAACACACTTGGTTACTTGAAACCAATTTGTAGGCATAAAATTACCACAATGAAGTCATCCTTTGCACCCATCACAAGAATTTCAAGAGGGCAGTTTGGCACTGAAGGAACCGGAAGTGATGCATTCAACTTTCTTAAATCAAACAATGGCATCCTACTACTTTCTTTCATTAGCTCTTGATATCTGAAATATGAGAACAAGCCAAAAGGCTCCAGCACTTGAATAACCTTGAAAACCAACAAAAATAATTTGGGATATAAAGATATCACGGTCATGTTATTGACAATAAACATTTCATGACACCAAACCATCCATTTTGGTCCCATCTCTCAAATTCTGCTAAAAATTATTAACACAAATAAATTCTGTAGTATGTTGGTCATGAATTGATGCAAATATTATTAAAATGCATGAAAGTGGCTCAAGCACATCCACATTATTATTCACGCACTACTCACCAAGTATATATGCCAATTGCCAAAGTCATGGACAACAACAACAAATAGTCAGAGTCGCAGTTAGTCAGTTACTACTAAAGTCACACATTCATAAATTTGAGGTTCAATGTATTGCATTGTCAACGTTCCATGTTAACGTTAGGTGTATTTTTTAAAAGAATTTTCTTGCTTTATCCTCCCCTCCACCCCATTAATAAACTCCAGTTAGAACCAACAATGTTTCGACACATGACATACATTACATTGTTCTTTTCCAATTTTCATTTCATTTCCACAATCTTGCAAGTAGTAACACCCCATGAATGTATCATTAAGCATCACCTTTCCGTTTCAAATTGCAATGGTAATGCTCATAGGGGAACAATTCCAGGAAATCAAACCTTTTAACAACATGATCCTCCATAGTGGCTGAGAAAAATGTCTCCCTACAAAGAGGAAGAGAGGTCTGAAAAGCTTTTGCTGCCAAGCTGCGTGTCACCTGCCAGGTGGTGGATACATGTATATCAGAACAAAAACACAGGATAAGTTGAATTCTTCCGCAAAATTCTGTTTAAATACCTTGAAGGCAGCAATTGGCTTGGAAAAGATATAACGCCAGACTACCCCACTAATAAAAGAAAAGAAGAATTATCAACCAGAGCAATCACAGTAAAAGGTTCATCTTTCTATAATAAATAATATCAAATGCATACTAGACATGAGAGTTTAGTCAGTTACCTATTACCAGAAGGAGGTACAGAGCAAACAAGTACAGCTCCTTTAAGCTTTGGGTACAAGTCTTCTATTTACAGAATCAAGCTCAAACAGAATTAGCATAATGAAAATATAGAAGAGTAGGTTTTTGAGTCTTTGACATGTATATATGGTGGAGGTGGGAGAAAATAAAATACAAAATGATACCATAAAAGGCACCAGAGGCCTATACTGTACACATTGGACAAAGTAACCAGAAATAAGCATCTGGTGCAAATAATTCTAACCAATTATCCATAATACAAGCCTACAATTCAAAATCATCTAATTTAACCATTTTCAACAAGCAAGTGAGTGAATAATCCAGAATGAGAAAGCACCTTTGAGTTTGTCACTTCCTAAATTGGAAGTATAATATTGAATAATAAGTCCTCCAAATGAATGCCCGACCAAGACAGGTGGCGATCTAATATTACGACAGATAAAATCGGCAACATCTCTTGCATGTGTCTACTGCAAAACATGGTACAAACAGGAAACTATAAGAGCATATATGATTATAATGAAATCTGCCCAAAGTACGAAACAAAATTGAAAGTTGATAGATGAACAAATCTCAACTAGTAAAGGAAGAAGTAACACACCTGAAGTGTACCGGCAACAGAATCAGCAGGTTCATCACTTTCACCCTGCCCAAGGAGAAATCACCACAAAAATCCATATTTGAAAATGCAGATCGATAACAATACCATTGAGCATAAGCTCGGTCTGTATGATATTTACCACTTATTTAGACTTATGTAAAAACAATTGCAATAAGTGTTTGTGAAACCTTATAAAAATAACTCATGATACATCCATAAGTTGTTTTCAGCTTATTTCTTCTATAAGTTCTCTAATACAGCTAACAATGTATAAAAAAATGTTCAACTCTAATATCTCTTCAATTATAAAAAGAAACTTATATCAGTTTAGATGAATTTCACTGTAAATACTTATAACTTTATAAGGAAAAAAAATAAAGTAAACTTTCCTTATATAAGCTTTTCCAAAAATTGATTTTAATTTATGCATAAACTAATTTTACTTATCAAAGAAACTCTTTTTTTTAATTCTTATTTTATAAATAATATAAACAAGTTCTTAAATTCGAAATCTGTTACCGAGGTTATAATTTGTACCTATAAAAAAAAAAATTAACGTGGCTCTAAACTACATGAGATACTGAACTACATTTCGGTTCTTTTCTTGAAATTGTAGGCTGTTTAATTTGAGAAAACATCTTCAGTTTTTTATTCTATTTTCACTTTTAATTACAAAAATTGCACCGTACTTTTGTTCGATTTTCTATTTATACAAGATTTATTAAAAACCACTTTTTTTTTCAATTTCTATTTTGATCAACTGAAAATTGAAAAGATTTAGTCCAACCAAACACAGCATAAGCCAGAACCCAGAAGTGATTTTTGAGAATGTACCTGTCCTAACAAGCTAAGAGCATAGCAATCATGGCCAGAAGATGAAAAGAAGGGCAACCAGTGTTCCGCCCAGCACCAAGCAGCATGGTAACTCCCATGAACAAAAACCAAAGGTGGAAGTGGGTGTTCACCATTCTTCTTCTTTTCCTCACCCTTCTGCACAATCACCTCCATGCTTAGACCAGAAGGGAGCTCGTGGAAATTACGACTCTGCCCTTGCTTCAGATCGTATTGGACACCCATCTTATTCTTCTTCTCTCTGCTCAGAACCGCCACGGTCTTCAAATTGGAACGGTTCGCGAATAGTGTGTAAGACCCACTAACACAAACAGACATTGTCTCTCTTCTTCTTCTTCAAAGTTTCGGTCTTTGGTGCCAACAAGATAAGGGTCGCCCAAGCTCTTCTTCTCACTGTTCTCTTTTCTGCTGCTTCTTCTCTCTTGTTTGGTGTAATGAAATAAACGGAAGAATTAAATTTATTGTTTTAAATGTTATATAATTTCTTCAATGTTTTTTTTATCAAATAATTAGGAACTTTGTTTTCTATTTATTTATTTTATTGAAATGATTTCAGCAATCTTAACAATTGTATTACAACTTGTTTATATAGTTACAAAAAGAAATAAAGCTTCAAGTATGATTATTTTGTAAGGAATAATACCACTTTATTAATATGATTTTTTATATAATGATATTAATCTCCAATTTTACAGTTTGATTTATTTTAGAGATTTATTAATCGATATAATCTGATTAAATAAAATTGAAAAAAAAGGAATTTATATAGTTATTAAAAATATAAATATATTTTGAAATTAAATGTTATTAATTTGTCAATAAAAAATTGATGTAATAATTGTGTCCTAATGTTACCCTTTTTATGTACATTTGGAAAGTTGGAAAATGTTTAATGTTGAGTTCTTAAAAAGGCCATGCATGTTAAAAAGAAGTTTCATATATTTACAAAATAGACTTAATATATCTTTTATTTATAAAAAAAAATTACTCTCAAGTCTCACTTATTATTGATCAACGTTGGTCCTCGGTTGTTTTATAGAAAAATATTAGCCATAGTCTCCAACATATTTTATTATTATTAATTAAATCGCAAATTTTGGGGTTGAGATTTGATTAATAAGAATTGTAACTCGTCACTGATGTCAAGGTTTCAGTGATTTTTTTTATAAAAAAAAAAAAAACTAAAAGCCCAAATTCAGTTGAAGTGGGCCGAGACACGAGTTACTGATCCAAACATAAATTCTGCACCACAAAAATGGGAGTGTGCGCGTTTCCGTTGTTGCTCACCGAGTACTACTAGCCAGTAGCCACCACCCTTTGGCGAAGGTAAACCCTTTCGCTTATGTTCCATATTTTCTCTTCAATTGAGTGTGCTCTTTGTTGGGATCTCAATATTATTGACTACTCCATGTTTTATTCATTCAATTAAATCACTCACTGTTTGGTTCAGTTTGGGAGGTTTTTTTTTGTTGTTATTATTTGTAGATGTACCGTTTGACGAAATGCCTCTCTGTATGTTTGGAAATTAAACCCAATTGTGGTTTATGCTGGATTTCATGTTGGGATTTCTGCTTAACCTGCTTCAGGACCTTGGTTGTGCGGAGGTTGTTTTGTGGACTTGTTTTTAAATAAGTCAACGATTCCTTGGACTTGAATTCCCCAATTAGCTTTGCTTGTTTGTTTAAATATGCACAGTGTGAGTGCATGATTTTGGTTTCAGAATCTGATTCATGAGTTTCCCATGCTTCAAGTTGATTTTGAGCTTCATATTTCATGTGTTTGAGAACATATCCAAATCACATATTGAGCTTGATTTGGAGTTATGTCAGACTTTTGCTCAACTGAATTAATTACTCGCAATACATATATTTTTGAGCTTCCATTGTCCAGTATGTTGTGCTTGGTTACTATAAATCTGTTTAGGTAAATTTCTCCAAGAAAAATATCAAAAAAAAATTGAATATGTTTTTCCATAAGCTAAAAGTAGTTTTACATAAGCTAATTTGTCGACTTTTTCTCTTATTATTTCCCTAAAATTTTGTTTTTAATCTGTATATAAGTTAATTTTAGCAGATAAACAAGCTTATTTTATTTTTCTTTTTTATTTTTCTTTTCTGAAAGTACTTTTGTAGAAGTCCACCTTAATAAACCCTATTTAGTTCTGTTGTTGTCTTTGATTAGAGTCGGTGCCATACCTAAATAATGGATCATCTAACCTTCTTTTGTTTTTGTTTGATTGTTCAAAATACAGAGATGGAGACACAATCTGGTGATGCTAGGCCCCAGGTGAAAGCCACATTTCGTCTTGGCTCCGAATCATATTCCGTCCAGACAAACAAAGGTTCTTTATCAGAGCAATTGGTTTCACTGAAAGAGGAAAGCATGACCATATTGAAGGATTTCATAACAAAGCATAATGTTCCTCACGATGTCCCAGATGAGCCATTAGAAGCTTCTTCAGATGATGAAGATGATGATGATATTCCTGAGAAGCCTCAAGAGAAGTCTAAGAAAACTAAGTTGACATAGCTTTTGGCATATGTCCGATCGATCTGAATCATTTGGTGTATGTACTGTACTGTATGATTTAACATTTAATTAGTTTATTGAAGAACTTAGGAAGTAGTTTTTTATCAAAGACTACACGTACCAACTATTAGCTTTTTGGAAATAAGATTGTGCCTTCACTCTTCATATTTTTTTAGTTTCCCTTTCTTTATTTTCCACTGTCTGAGTGGTTCATTTTGTAGCCAAAGTAACGTTGGAACCTTCAACAGTTTTGATCAGCGACAGTGTGTTTGGAAACAGATTGCAGACGTGATTTTTCACATCAAACTGAATGTTACTATTTCTAGCATTATTTTAGTCATAGAGACACCATGAATGTGATTTTAGTTAGAGATGTTTCCAAACACACCCAAAGATGCATTTGCCTATGAAAAGTAATGTAAAATAAAATGAAAAAGTATTGGGAAAATTTTATATTTTTGGCCAAGAATTCTAGATAAATTTGGCATTGAAAGAAAAAAAAATGTCTCGTCTTGCTTTTCAAAATTTTCAAAACCTTGGATAGACGCTCAGATTAAAAGAGTTTTATTGAATGTTTATTTCACAGCTTATGGCACTCTCAGGCTCTCCGCTAAGGTAATAAACACATTCGAGATAGAACAGATGACCAAAGAATTATTTGAATAGAAGACGAAAGTTAAGTTACTGTGAGCATTATTTTATGTCCCAACTTATTTTAAATTCTTCTTCAATAATATAAATAACATAATAAAATTACAATATTCAAAAGTTTGGGTCCAATAATTTAAACGGTAATCAAAACAAAAGCCAATTCTAAAATTGGGCTAGCGTTTATTTTGATTTGGTTTGTGGTCCAATTCTAAAAATTAATAAAAACAAAAGCCAATACTAAATGTCAAAAATTGGAGAGAAAAAAAGATAAAATTGTTTGCAAAGTTTCCAAAACCCTAAACTCAAAACCATTGGCGAACAAGGTAAACTTTTTGGCATCAACCATATTGGTTCGCAAGGATTTTGCCCTACACACTGATTTTCTTTTTCACAAGTTCATAACATTCTGTCACCTAATTATAAGCCAAAGCAAGAGGTATTTTATCTTATCCTTTTATCATACTTTGCAGTTAAAAGAAATATTTTTTAAGTTATTAATAATTACATAATTAACGGATATATTGATTAAATTTCTACTCTCTTTTTTCTATACATAGTTAGAATCCAAAATTCATTTTCAAATTCTGAGTTCTTAAAAAAATACAGTTTCATAACTTTTTTATAGCTTTTGAATGAAATTGAGTTGCCCCTTATTTTTTTTTTCATAAATTTCAATTGTCTCTCATTACAACGCCCTTTGGGCACCTTGTGACAGATATACAGTACCCTTGAAACTTTCTAAGTAACTTCAACTTAAACATGCTTTCCTCAAATTCTCAATGCTTGGAAAGAAATCCTAGTTTGCCTCAAACATGACCCTCTTTTGTGTCGGTTTTGGTCATGGATTTGGTGATGAAATGAGTAAGAATCCCAATGGGGCAAAAGAATAAGCAAAAAGAAACAGGATGCCGAGTTTCAATCTGATTCTTTATTCCATCTTGGAAAACATGCCTGCATTCAAAAGCACAATTAATTACTATTAGAAAAACAACTAAAGAATGATGAAGCAAGAGTAAGATAAAATGCACGACCTTGCAGCAAAAAGATCAACAACCAACAGATGGATCCAGGCAGAGGCTAAAGTCATCTCACTAGAGAACATTTTTGCTATACCAGACAGCTGCATGAAATAAACAATTTATCAGTTGGATAGAACTCTTTTGGGAAGAGAAACTTTATTGTTATTTATTGAATGCATACATACACACCTCTGGTAGCAAGTATTTACTTGCAAACATATATCGAATTGACTCAGGAGTCCAAGAAAGGTATAATAAATATGCATACAGAACGCCAAGCACTATATACGGTATACTACTTTCCATAGACTTCTTGGTCTGCATTTAAGGAAGATGAATCAGGAGGATGAACTACAAAATCAAAACCCAGTACAAGGGTATGAAAAAAGAATATTCAAAAATATAATTTTACTACTACAGAAAAAAATGTCAGTTTACTTGGAGGGTTGGGGGGAGGGGGGGTTGGAGATAAATGTATATCTATGCAAATAGCTTAACAAATTATCTATACTTTTTTTTAAGAACCACGAGTATTTTTTACTAGAGACAATTATATTCAAATCAGATAGGACTACTAACGACTACAAAGTTTCCCCTCTAAGTATTTAACATAGTTGCATATCTAGAACTTGAGCTTGAGACCTCTGCCTAAGCTAGAACAACCCCGTACTAACAAATCATCTATACTTAAGAAAAGATGTTAATAATTAAAAAATTGGTGATGAATTGTGATCACCGACCATAAATTTTCCCAAATGCAGTAAGAAACATACTAGTTCAGAATTTGGGGCTAGAACCATAAGTGTGTAAAATGGGAGAACTGCTACTGTTCCTACTGTAAAAGCAGTGCTAGCAAGTTCTGATCCTAGGAAGCCTGGAAAATAAACGTAGAAAAATGAGTGTTAGGAAAAAGTATAGCCACCATCAGTTATACAGGAAAAAATATTCAATCAACTTTATTCAAAGAGTATAGACGGCCAAAATGATTTAGATAACTTTATAACAGCTTTGATATTTAGAATTGCTATTGATGAAAGAATCACTCATTCCCGATACATTTTATATTACAATAACAATAAATCAAGTTAAAGGCAAAACTTTATACCCAAGTAACTCGACCAGGTTGTAGAAAATTTAGACTGCACATGAGTAATATTAGTCAATCTCCCCCAGCCTTGGGGAACACGAGAAAAATAAAACAAAACTAAATATGGACTCTCCATTCTTGTGGAATCAAGACAAACTACAAAAATGAAACTCACAAGATTGATACAAGGATTGCTTAATAGGTGCAGTAAAACCTGATGTCTTGCATACTTTTCCAAGAAATTGAACATCTGCTTAAAACTTAAAAAGCAGATCCAATAGCAAGAGCAATAAGCACAAAACATACCAAGTTTCAACTATGTTAGAAAAAGTGGTTCAATTCTATATTAAAATCTTTGGTGTCCAACTAAAATGATTTTCTTCACGGCTTTCAAATTCAAAGATAGAGTATCATACAATATAAAGGTAAAGTAGGAATCAGAATAGCAAAAGATAGCTGAGATCAGCAACCACGTGAAAATTGTGGAGAACTAAAGCAAATGGAACAACTTAATATCAATAACTTGTCTCCAAAAGTTACAAAGAATAAATTTGAGTAACTTAATGAAGCACGAACTAAGAACAGCAACAGATTGCAAAGTCACATAAGATATTCCATTGTACACATCAGACCATAGCAACACATTTCAACAGGGTATTCAATCAAGTATTTAATGTAAAAAGATCAAATAGATATTTATTTTGGCTTTCAGTTTCAATGTCTAATTATATAAAATCTACAGTATTTTATGCTATGGAACTTGCAAAAGAGGTAAGCTAACTATAAAAATCCATCCTGGGTATCAAACCCTTAATTTGTGGTATTTTTCAAGTTAAACAATACTAATTTACTTGTAAATTAGATCCTTTAATTTCTTGCATAAGAATCAAAATATATCCAACATCATGCACAAATTTCCCTCCTAACCAATTCTCTTAAATGATAAATCATTTCGATGAGGAAACAGCTTGCTCCAATGATATTATATCAATCAGAAAGGGAAAATTTCCATGGGTCAAAATGACAGCAGACCACTGAAAGTAATTTAATTTTAAAACAAAGAGATCTAACAGCAAAACCTCCAGTTTCACATGTAAGAAGCTCTAAGACATGGAAAAGTGCCATCAATATGCAAAACCAAAACACCAGAGACTTCAATAGGATGCTTAAATTAAGTTGGGCCAGCACAAGACACACAAATCTTATTATTGTAAAAATGAATTTCAAAAGTAGAAAATGTAGCATAATAAAGGATTACACGAAGCCTGCATTCGACTTCTTTTTGGATAATGAAGCAATGTCTTGGCTTTCGGCTTCATGGTAATTCTGGATCCTCCTATGAAACTCCAATCTCCACTTAAGTTGACTTTACTTCTCACAATGTGTCTGCTACAAGGGTCGACACCATTACTTCGGGTAGGGAAAGGAAAACTTGGCCCCTTCCCAACAGAACCACAAGGTTTCATAGCCTGCCCCAAATGTAAAAAAAGAGTCTTAATTGTAAAAAAAAAAAAGAGAGAGAGAGAGAGAGAGAATCTTTAGCCCAGAGATACACCTTATGTTATTCATGCATAATAAAAAATGAACCACATTGATTGATATTAAACTTTTTTTTCCTCAGTGTAAAATAGCCAGGTTGTGCAAACGATTCAGTACGCATGCAAGGACTACTTGAACAAAACTAAAGTTGTTTTACATAAGAGGAAAACATGAATTTAGAGGATTTGATGACACGTAGCAGCAACTTTTAACTCCACTATCATACCAACACGCGCCTAGCATAGATCCACATAAAGCAAAACTAAAAACCTTGTTAAATCTAAAAGGGAAAAAAAAATGCACAGATGCCCATTTCATCAGTAATGCCGTGGTGATTCAAATCTAAGCCAGATTGACATTTTCAATCAAATAATCATTAAAAGTTTAAAACTTTAGAGACCAAACAGAAAGGCCATTTATGGGGGGATATGAACAGAAGTCCAGAAAACAGACCTCAAAAAGAAAAAGAAAAGGTGGAAAAACATAGAGATTAGAAAACAGCAATTGCAAATGAAAGAGAAAGTGTACCTGGAGTGAGAATGGAGAATGGGAAAAACAAATGGAGAGAGACATGATTGAAGCAAAAGCAGAAGATTGAGGAAGAGGGGATTCGCATATAGTACAAACGAAGAGTGGCATGAGGAGATGAAAAAGGTTATAAATTAGTGAGAAACTGAAAAAGATGGAATTATATGGAAAAGGAAGGAAGTCAAACAAGTAAAGACAGAGGAATTGATTTGTGATAATCCATTCCAATTCCGATGATGCATTTTGAGTTAGTGATTTAGGCACTCATTTCATGTCATGTGACCCTACAAACACGCTCATGTCATTCTTATTAGTTTGCTTCAGTATGTTAAAAAATCACGAGTACACTCGAGTTTATACACACTTTTTCTTTCTATCTAAAACAAGTATGTTTTAGAGAATACTTTTTTTACTTATTTTTTATTTTATTTATTTAAAATTTATTTGATTACTGATACATTTGAATTTTTTTTACAGCATGATCATGTCTGAAAGTATATTTTTAATTCACATCTATTAATAGGTTTTAATAATGGTATTCCAATTCATGTATTCTTTTTGAATCATTAGATAATTCATGTGTTTATTTATTGCTTTTAATATAACTTTTAAAAGTAAGGATATCGTATTTTAAAAAAATAAAATAAAAATAACTAGAGATATTAATATGTAATTATTATTTCATTTATCAGTTGCAATTATGAGTAGTGTACAAATTTATAGAAAGAAGAGTTTACTGTATTTTGAAAGATATTATTTTCAAACTTAATTATAAGTAAATTTAACTAATTTATACACTAATTAAGAAAAAATAATATCATTTAATTTTATTTATTTTGAGTAAAAATAATTGTTTTCCTTATATATTATTCTTTATTAAAATTGATATTAAAAATAAAAAAATACTAAAAATATTCGAATACAAATCACTTTTATACATTCTATATATTACAATTCTGTAATAAGATAGTCCACAATATCAAAAATATATCTCTCTCGATCTTACCAAATAATATTTCAGAAATCATACTAAAATCCATTTCGATACTCATAAATATTTTTAAAATGTTAATATAATTTTTTTAAGAAATAAATATTTTTACATTTAATCGCAATATAAAATTATATATATTAATTACGTTTCTTAAATTTTGTTCTAGAACTCTAAATGTTAGATAAAATAAAACAGAGAGTAATTATTATAAGTACTTTTTAAATCATTATTTTGAATTCTATCAAAATTTAATTATTGTGTAACAATTAATATATTAATTACTCCTTCATTCTATAAGAAGTGTCACATTAAAAGAAAAAACAAATTCCAAATAAGTGTTATGTTAAATTTTCAATAGACTATATATTAATTATCTATATTTTATTTATACCTTAATAATATTATGTAAAAAGTGATTTTTGTGTTGCATACAAAAAAGATTATCATAAGATTAATTTTGTAAAATTATTATTGTTTGTGATTTATTTAGTAACTTTTTTTATTTGTGTAAAATAATATAAAATGACACTTATTATAAGATAGAAGAAAAAATTAATTAATATATTAATCATTCAGATTTATAAATAATTATCATAAATAAATATTTTTATCTAATATAATATTTAGTTGGAGGCCAACAAGAGGAAGGGAAGGAAGCAAAATTCTTCCTGACCAGATTTAGTTATTCTCCAACATTAGAGGGATTTAGAGGAAAGTGATTTTAAATATTTTTAATATAATATTTTAAAAAAAATAGTTGTATTATTAAGTTTAAAATTATAAAAATAATTTAAAAAAATAATTTTTAAAATCCCTTTTCTCCACTTATGAATCAAACAATAAAATAATTATCTCTTTCTCCTCCCTCCTTCTCTTAAATCAAACAATTTTTTAAATTGTTCTTCTTCCTTCTTCTCCTTTAAACCATACAAATCTTGAAATTTCGTCTTCCATAAAAATTATCTCATTTACATATGATTTTAATCATCACGTGTCTTTTATTGAATTTATTTATTAATTCAATTCTCTTAAAGTTTGGACGGGATTAATATATTAATTAATGAATATATTAATTATTAAATTTCTATAAATAATTATTGTCAATAAATGATACATTTCATTTTTTAAAATCTGTTTGTCATTATTAAATTACTATATTTTTGAAAACTAATTACTATAATTAATATTTTCAGAAACTCCAGAATAGCTGCATATTTCAATACAGTAACAACTTAAGAAATCAATTAATATTTATAAATTACTATGAATAATGTATATTATAAATTTATTATCATATCTCCCTTTTTATACGTAAATTATCGTCTCTCATTCATACATAATAATAGCTGTGTGTTAATTTTTCAATTGACTTTAATATTCAATTATCATTACTTAATTATTCAATTGCTATATTTCTGTTTTTGCATGGAATCTACAATTGATCAGTTTAATATTTCAGTATATTGAATTATATGATAATTATTTAATATTTATAATTATTTAATATTTTTCAGTAATTATTTAAAAATATTGCACGATAATTGATCATTCGATATTTATACAGATTCAAAAATAAAAACCATGTTTGCTCAGAATTCAGTATTTATACAAATTAAAAAATAAAAAACACGTATGCTCATAATCTTAAGTTCAAATTATGTTGCCTGCATTGCAATCCTTATCAATAAAAAAATAAATTAAAAATAATACTAAGGATTGAAATTTATTTTTTATTTTTTTTTAAATACAACTTTCTTCTTTGTAATTTATCACTTTTTTACTAGTTTTCGTAAATTTTGTTGTTATTTCATTTTTAACTTTTTATAACGTTTCAAATATAATTCTTACGGTCAACTTCTATTAAAATATATATATATATAT